TTTTCTCCTCAATTGAGTTTGAAATCCCCTTTTCTGGGCATAGTCGAATGCAGGGTAAAGTTGTCAGGCTCAATCGCCTGACCTTGATTGCCACCCACGATATCGCCAGTATGACATCGACCTCGTGGGCTTCATTCTTGTGCCCATTGATCCACCAAGAACTGACATCTCGAGAATAGGCAGGGATTCAATAGCTCACCAACAAAGAGCGGAATCGAAAGACTTAGATATTTCATCAAAGGAAGAGAAAGAGAGCTGAAATTCGTAAAAGAAGAAACTATGGACCAGATGAAACAACTAGAGGCATGCGATAATGCCGTATTCAATTTGGATATTACAATTCCCGATGCGAAGCGAATTCTTAAGGCTGCCGAAGATAGCCTCGCTTTCTCTCCTCAATGCCCGATCCCATCTTAATTTGATTCAGCAGATTCAAGCGAAGGCATTGAGAAATGAATCAGTGACCAAGGCGCTCTGTACAGAACTCTTAAATCACCCCAAAAAGTCGCTCAGTCAATTTTCACAGAATATCGATGAGCAGATAGCAGTTCTAAGAGTCGACGTTCGCGTTCTATGGGATAAACTCCGCGAGCTAGAAATGGAATTGGGAAGCTGGAGGACGACCCAAAGGTTGCTCCAGAAGGCAATGATGCGCCTCAATGCAAGTCAGTTGGACATAGAGGTGGACATCAAAACCGGAAAAGAGGCATTTCGACCTCTTTGGAATGTACCTTCGGAAGTCTGGGCGAAAATATTCGAGTATGCCATAGAAGGGGCAAAGAATGGCTACTTGAAGGAGAATCAAAGCAATTATGGCATGCGCCCACCTATATTCAATCTCTCCCAGGTGTGTCAACGCTGGCGATATCTCGTGAATAGCGAATCCAAACTCTGGACCCTATCCTACGTTGCTCCCACTCAGATGTGGCGCCAAGATGAACACGATCTTATAGCTACATCTGTCAAGAAATCAAATGTTCCAATGACAATCATCACCAATCTATCTCAATATTTCTACTCGGGCTATGACCGCTACTACCGTTTTGACATCCATGGCGACATGGTTGCGACCGTTTCTCCCGATGAAAGTAGTTTATTCAACGGAAAGGAATACATCCTCCTTGTCGATATGTATGAAGATGACCTTGTCACCATGTCAAGGCTATCGAACCTCCCTCTGCGACAGCCAACTTCTCTTATTTTCTCTGGGCGGTCGAGCATTCAGCGGGGCTACCTCTTCGAATTTATCTCCAATTTCTCCGGTGTGAAGTCTTTATCTCTCTTCAATGACAATCCTCTCCACTTCCCGGATGTCACTTTATCGTCTTATTTCCCTCAACTGCATGAATTACGCATAGAGGTTGGTGCGTTCCCGTCAAGCCTTTCCTTGAACTCTTATCTACCAGCTACTTTGCATGAGCTCCGACTGCGTAATAATACTGGAGACATGTTACCAATTTTATCCTCCGAAATCGAACTTCCTCACCTTCGGATTCTAGAGATTACATCCCCTGGAGCGTATTTGCTCGATATGCTCACAGCTAGAGGACTTCAATCCTTGAAACTCTATCGCCCCCGCATTTATCGAGCTATTCAAATCTCTTCATCTACTAAAGCGACAGAGATCTATGGAAATCTACTCCATTTGAAATTTGAAGATTGGAAATCCCGTGGATCCCTTGGAGCTGTAGCGGTGTTTCGAAATCTCATCCAGAAAGTGCCATCATTGCACACATTGGCTTTCTTTAGAAGCTTTGTAGACGGAAATATGCTATTATCCGCAACGAGAATGCCCGTAGGAGGCAATGGAGATGCAGAAAGGCATATAGTGTTGACGGAGATCACTCTGAGCCACCCTCGTGGTATCACGAATGATCAATGCGAAGAGCTGAGGCAGTTGGTGAACACGGTAAAGGTTTATATGTAGAATTCATGGGTTGACTTCGATATCCTCGTCGCAAGGCGATATTTTCCTCACCTTCCCAACAAAATCACGTGCTAATAAAAAATAACGTTTCGAATGCTTGAGCAATATTCGAGGAGGGCTTGAATGTTACACTGGTTGACAGAGAACTCTCCTATAGTTACTTTTCATCTCAATTTTCTCATGCTCTCTACTTATCTCCGATAAATCATTAGCTATCTGTTGGAGTTCAGACTAAATTGTGATTGGTTTATTATGTAAGGTGAAAAAAGATGCATCTAACGCAATTGCATCATAAGTTCAGCCTCTTCATCATGCCTCAGTTGGGTATAGAATGCGCATGGGGACTGAGGCCTGGCCGAGGACAGGGCAAAGTTGTCAGGCTCACTCGTCTGACCCTGGTTATCACCCACGATATTACCATCATGTCCTTAGCGTCGTGAGTCCTAATCCTGCGTCTTCAAATGCTCCAAAAGCTAACATATTGACGATAGACAAGGGTTCAATAACTCACCGACTAAGCGAGAAACCGAGAGGCTCCGCTGCTTTATCAAATCGAGGGAGACGGAGCTGACGTCTGTGAAGAAGGAACTACTGGAGGAGACGAAGCAATTAGGAACCTGCGACAAAGCCATATCCAATCTCGAGCTCACGATTCCAGAGGCGAAACAAATCCTGAAGGCTAATGAGGATAACCTGGCTTCCCTCATTAGTATTCAAACTCAGCTCAGTACCGTGGGACGCATTCAAGAGAAGGCTTTGAAGAATGAACCTGTAACAAAAACGTTGTATTCAGAATTTCGAAGCTACTCGAAGAAGCCACATGAACGCTTGTCAGAACATATCGATGAGCAGATATTAGCCTTGAAGAGGGACGTTCGTGTCCTTTGGGACAAGGTTCGCGAACTGGAGATGGAGTTAGGAGGCTGGAAGGCATCCAAAAGGTTATTCCAGAGAGCAATAACGCGCCTTAATACGAGTTATTCGGATATCGAAACGGACATAAAGACCGGAAACGAAGCATTTAGGCCCATCTGGAGCATACCATCGGATGTCTGGGTCAAGATACTCAAGTATACTATAGAGGAAGAAAAAGCCAGCTATTTAGTGAATCAAGAGAATATTGGCATGCGCCCGCCCGTAATCAAACTGTCTCAAGTCTGCCAACAGTGGCGCTACCTTGTCAATAGCGAGCCAGCACTCCGAACGTTAGTATACGTTGCTCCTTCCCAGGTCTGGAGACAGGATGAACATGATCTAGTCGTCGCCTCTCTCGAAAAGGCAAATACCCCTATCACAATTGTCACCAATCTTTGGCAGCAATTTAGGAACGGGTACCAGTGTAACGTAAGGTACGACCAACATGGCAACTACGCTCCGTACCTCTCCCCGAACGAGAACACTATATTCAATGGCAAAGAATACAACCTCCTCGTCTACATGCATGATGATAATAATAGCTACATGCAAAGGCTATCTTATATGCCGCTGCGCCAGCCGACATCTCTTACATTCTCCGTAAGGTCCAGCATACGATACAACTATATCTTCAGCTACTTTGGAAACCTTTCCACAGTCAAGTCCTTCTCTCTTATCAACGAATATCCTTCATCATT